ACCAGAATTGGCGGTTGCGCTGGGAAGCTATTCTGCGCGCTTTGGCGTCCGAGGGCATCAAGAGTGTCATGATCGAAGGTGGTGGGACTGTTCTGAGTGAACTTTTGAATCCCGAGTACACCGAATTCATTGACTCTATTATTGTCACCGTTGCTCCAACATACCTGGGCCGTGGCGGAGTGGGAGTGAGTCCTGATTCAAAGCGAGATGAACAAGGTAAACCGAATGCCGCTCTCAATCCAAGGGAGATAAAATGGGTACCACTAGGCCAGAACGTCATAATGTGTGGGAAAATTCGCGCTGCTCCGTCTGGTGGCTAGAGTTCAATCGCCTGCCTCAGTTTTGCGATTCTGGAGTAATGCTGGCCGAGAGTTAGCTCGGAGCAGCATAATGAGATCCCTGTGGCTGTATCCTCCTGTGCTTACTATTGCAGAGGTGGACACGAATAGCACTGTTATAATGCAGGCATTAATTATGGTAATGATAATCATGAATAACTCTGCTAGATGTTAATAAGACCATAGAGAAACAGTCTGATTCTGGACTTTGGCCGCACAAAGAGTTTCTAGACTAAGTTCAACACTATGTCTTTCCAATATGGAGTATATGAATAGGGAGTTGATCTCCTGCTATAATTAACTTCAAAAACTAATAGTGACTAGTAAATGAATAAGAGTGCCTTTGATTCTAGTTTCTCAATCACTCTTCATGAGTATTGTTGTCTGCTTTGAGATGGATATTTGGAATGTCCCTTGAATAGGTAGATAAGACGTATGCGCTCCAGCCTATCAATACCTACAATACCACATGCTTCCTCCTCCAATGAAAAATACTTGAACAATGACAGTCCGATCAACACAACAACAACAACAATAAAAAAAGCACTAGTCAAGAATCCCGAGACAGCCTTCTGATCTTTTGTCGCTCCATTCTTCTTCGCCTCTTCTACTCTTCTACTCTTCTCCCTTTCTCTATCTTTCTTTTTCCTCCATCTCTATCTGCTCTCAATTTCTTCTGTTCTTGAACATATCTCCGCCTTTTCTGCACTCTGTACACTATCCTAATCCACTTCCCGCTTGAAAAGGCACTCTCCCATTCTTAAAAATGCCACCCAGAAAAAGCGCGTCCAAGGCCGCCGCAAAGCCTTCGACGACCACAACCAAGACGACCACTACCAAGAAAACTACCGTTGTGAAAACTGCAAGCAAAGGCCAGCCTGCGAAAGCTACTGCGGCTTCTCAAGTTAAGGCAGCCTCGAAGAAACAATCTCAAGCCATTGATGCATCTGCAAAGTCGCGCAAGTCCAAGACCACTAGCGCCAGTGCGACAGCTGCTACCAAGAAGCGCAAGGCCGAAGAAGTTGACAAGGAGCCTGATCTCAAGACTAAAAAAGCCCGTGTTGCTCAGCCTCAGGTCAAGAAGCCAAAACCGAAGGTGATCATCAACCATGCGCCCACTGCACGACTGAACGTCTATGTTTGTGGTGAAGGTAGCTCAGGTGAACTCGGGCTCGGCGCGCAGAAGAATGCGGTTGATGTGAAGAGACCGCGTCTTAATCCCCACTTGCCAGCAGATCGGGTTGGTGTTGTGCAGGTAGCTGTCGGCGGCATGCACTGCGTCGCCCTTACGCATGACAACAAAATCCTTACTTGGGGCGTCAACGATCAAGGCGCTCTTGGGCGCGACACTACGTGGGAGGGTGGTTATAAGGACATTGAGGACAACAAAAGCGATGCGGACTCGGACTCGGACTCAGATGATGACAGCGGTCTCAATCCCTATGAAGCGACTCCCACTGCCATCCCGTCCGACGCGTTCCCTCCTGAGACCGTCTTTGTCGAAGTCGCTGCGGGTGACAGCTCCAGCTTCGCTCTCACTGACGATGGTCAGGTCTATGGTTGGGGGACTTTCCGAGTAAGTTTCACCTGACATCTTCTTCCTACCGATTTCTAATACTTATTCTGTCCTTTTCTTTTTCTTCTTCTTTTCTCTCTCCCTCCTGTGAGGATGTCACTTCAACGACGCGCTAACGGGGCTTCTTCAGAGCAACGACGGTATTCTAGGCTTTGACGCCAAACACAAAGTTCAGCCGACTCCCACGCTGATTCCGTCTCTCAAGAAGATTAAACACCTTGCCTGTGGTGGTGATCACGTCCTCGCTCTGGATGAGAAGGGTGCGGTATTCTCCTGGGGATCCGGTCAACAAAATCAATTGGGCCGCCGCATCATCGAGCGCAACAGGTTGAACGGCCTCCAGCCGCGTGAATTTGGGCTACCAAAGAATATTGTCCACATCAGCTGTGGTGCCTTTCATTCCTTCGCCGTCGACACGGCTGGAAAGGTCTATGCATGGGGCTTGAATAGCTTTGGTGCAACGGGTATTCGTGAGGGAGCTGGTGACGACGGGGCTGCCATTATTCACCCAACTGTCGTGGATTCACTTTCTGGAAAGGATATCACTCAACTGTGTGGTGGTGCCCATCACTCGCTTGCTGTTTCCAAGGATGGTCAATGTCTTGTGTGGGGACGTTTGGATGGCTTTCAGACAGGCCTGAAGATCGATACTCTTCCAGATGATGCGGTCGTGAAGGACGAACGTGGACGCCCGCGGATCTTAATTGAGCCGACTCCTGTTCCCGGTATTAAAGCATCTGTTGTTGCGGCTGGCTCTGATCATTCAATTGCCATCGACGTCGACGGTCGCGCCTGGTCCTGGGGCTTCTCAGCAACCTACCAAACAGGCCAGGGCACTCAGGATGATATCGAGGTTGCGACTGTTGTGGAGAATACTGCTGTACGTGGTAAGAAGCTGAATTGGGCTGGTGCTGGTGGCCAGTTCTCCGTCTTTACCGAACCAGCAACATTGTAAAGACTAGCACCCATCGATCATTTTCTTGCCCCATTTGCTGTTTTCACTCGAAAGTGCTCAATTTCGGCATGTTTGGGGCACAACACTAGGTGTTTTCTGAATCTTAATGTCCATCATACACCACGCCATCTCTACTCATGTCGGCTCTATGCGAAGTTATTTCACAGATCGGCTCTGTACTTTATCTGCAGCAATTTCATCGTCGGCACCGTTCTGTCAACGTTATCACCACCCACCTTCCGTTCCAGTGTAAACTCGTAACTCATGCGTCTCTTGATAGATCCTCTGAGCAGCCATGGCTCGTGGCCAGATGATTGAGGACTATCATGTCGAATGCGAGCTACACTAAAAATTTGGCAAATCGGACTCTTTGATAAGGAAGCTATGTAACTTCATCTGTCATACTACGATCGGAGGAAAGTACTCCCCGGTAATTATTCTAAGTCATGCAATTTGCATTGAATCGCTTTGGTCGCCGAACATTCCGAATTCTTCGAAACTTTCTGTTGAAAAGAGGTTCCGACAACATGTTGGCCATTTGGCTTCAGGTAGAGGTGTTGTTCATTATGAGTAGCTCTTGTTCTTTTAGAAGTGCATCCAATTCATCGTCGTCGGGAGCTCCCTGGTTATCGGGCAGCTGCGCGACATCATCGTCATCTGCTACAAAGAGCCCCTCGTCTAATTCGTGTTGTCGCGAAGAACTCAAAAGGTCTTCAATATGCATCCCCTCTGCATCCGTCGTATGGTCACCAGCAACATCCCCTCTCGATCGTTGTGTATCCGTCATGTTGAGACCGTCAAATGCTACAACAGGGTCATCGGGCCGACTTCCTGGTGATTCGCAGGCTTGCGGAGAATGATTATGATTTTCTGACGTGACCCTTGGTTTCTCCTCGTCTATCCATTCCTTTCGCATCGTCTGTAAGCGTTTGGAGTGGCCGAGTCGCTCAATGATGGCAAGACCATCCGCGAATTTCGCACGAGGAAATAAGTCGTCAAGCCATAATTGGTAAAAGTTCAATAAGCGTGCAGCGTCAGAGAACTATATTGCGAGTTAGAAATGCAACACGGACAAAAACGGCGTTCTCTACTTCGCCCACCTCATGCCCTTTCCCTTTAAATCTCAATTTATTTTTGGCTGTGCGGCGCAACTTTGGAATACCAGGCTGTGACAGTAGCCTTCCGCCGAATAGACTCAGCACTTATCTCATTATTGAGAGCAATAAATCAACCTACCGACTCTCATCCAGCTTCGCAACAGGTTGCCGCTTTTTTGTCACTTTGACCTCTTCGTCTAGGCCTAAACCGAGTCCTGATTCATCTCGTGCAGAAGACTGCATGGGAGCGCCATCATTTGGCCTATTCGGGGTCTCCTGCCACAACTCATCCAAGCCGAAGTCATAATCAAAGAGATCGTCTGCACGGTTTGGCGATACTGGTTGATCATCTTCTAGTGTGCCTTCATTCTCCATGACTCTAGATTTCTGTTTTCGACCAAAACAGAAGATATGATGTGTATCTGGAAAATCTATATGAAGATTGGCAGTTGGGTATTCAATGATGGCTTCAATCAGGGTGGATTACACTGCACTTGGTAATCTTATTATGCAGTCTAATTGGGATTATTCTACACGTAACAAGGCCATGACGCGTTCCGTTATGGGAGGCTAATATATCAGTTTATGGTTAGGCGCGAAGAACTGGAATACGTGATACAAACATTACCAATACAACCTATATATTACGTTCACCCAAAATTCACTGCCAGTAAGGTATTCTAGGAAAAGCTTCTCTACAGGCAGTCCATTACTGAATAGTTCATGGTCATCTAAATACTTATAGTACTAGGTATCTTAAGATGATGAATATGCACAAGTACTCCGTAACTTTTTAAGTCATCCCAGACCTGCATACTGTGTGATCATTTTGATCTCTAAGCTGAACTTGCAAGTCAACCTCTGAGACCAGTAACTATTATGTTTTTGCTTAGTAAGCCCAGCTATTTTACTAGTCCAAGAATAGTCAAGGGCAACCTCGGTGCTGCACCTCACAGTTCATCTATACTGACAAACTGCCCATCCGGCCGACCAAAAGTGAACCTCAGGGCATACATAACCCCAGTATCCTCACAATGGCTACTGAGAGCAAGAGCGTGCTTATCCCTCCAAAGCGGGCTAATACCGACTACCCGGTGTGTCCAATTTCTTTCCTATACAATTGATTCTCACTTCACATTAATCGCTAACCTTGCGTTGCAGCTCATCGACTCTGATCCGTATGTCACTACCCTTCACTCAAGCGCTGAGCTCTCGGAGCAGATATTCACATCAACATAGGCACCTGAGACGAGTTTTCGGATATGCGAGACCTTCTGATTATGCAATGGCTGGGGGTATGGCCGCTGCCTCCCCTCTCGCATTCTGGGCTATGGAGAGGGTCAGCCCTTCCCATGTTGGTCGAGGAGGCTTTGCTCCTGTGATGCGACTGGCGACAGCAATTGGTTTGGTTGGCGGTCTACACATACTTTACCAGAGATCTTGCAGTACGTCGACGCTTTGAACCCTCTAGTAGCACCCATTAACCCGAGCGTAGACCGTTTCTACGGATTCACAGAGAATGCCCGAGAGGTTGAAATGGACATGAGGGAGATGGTCGACAAGGTCAAAAAGGGCGAGCCGCTATACGGTACATCACAAGTATCCTCTTACCTACAAGGCGTTGCGGCCAGGAATTCGCGGTACTCACAGCTCTTCATTCATGTCCTTCCTTGGTTTAACATTGTCAATCACGACCAGGTAGGCTTTTGTTTTTCGTCGATGCCCTCAAGATCGAATAAGTTCGCTAACGTATTGCAGCATGGCGTTGACACAGCAAAATATTATCAACAAGCTGAGCGTGAACTCGAAGCCGAGCGCTTGGCGACAGCCGGCTCTTCCTGAGTCTTTGTGCTTGTAGAGGGTTTATCGAAGCTTGCCAGTCATTGACACTCAGTCGTGTTTTGTGAATCCTTTGTATGCCTATTGCTCCTTGCATGTACTCGAAATATAGCTACATCAACAATCTGCCTTCGGCAATCTGGTTACGAAGTAGCAATTTTCGGCGATGACTGCATGGCGCCAGTTCCGCCTAAGCGGCAAGATTTAGACCGTTATCATCTTCGAGCATCGTCTTGAGTTCTCGGTTCTTTTTTGGCCGTGGTTTCGGCGCTCGATGAAGTCAGCAAACTCTCAAATCTGTGCATACCGTTTGAACGCCCACCTTTCTCATTCTCTTGTATATAAAAGCGCCTAAGTAACATTATTGCTTCTTTGCGGAATAATCCTCCATAGACAGAGTATGGTGGGTCTATCGTGAAGCTGACATAGGTAGCAGTTTAGAAACGGGTCAAGTTTTCAAGCTAGAGACATACTCACTCAGAGTGCAATGACAAAATGCTTCCTGTGCCTCCGAATCTATCATTGGCGCAACCAAAATAGACTGCTCGTATTTGATACTGCCTTAGAGCGGAAGCACACATTACGCATGGCTCGACTGTGACATACAAATCTGTCGAGCGAAGTAAAGACTTGGGGTGGCTTCGGAGCATTTCTTGAATGGCGATGAACTCGGCATGTCTTGTACCCTAATGGCAGTGAGCTATAAAGAAGATGAAAAACGGAGAGAAACAAGATGAAGTCCAGAAATATTAGCGCAGCGCCATGATGACTTTCAATGTGCATTGTATGAGCAAGATAGAAAGATGGATGATGCCCCAAGCATTCTTGTTTCAAGTGATGAACAGCAACGTACATTCATTGACTTATTGGTGTCATTCATTCCGGCACCCACTATTTTATTGTCATGTACCAACACGCATCCAACCGGCGTTTCACCTGATTCGAGCGCTTTCTCGCCCTACATAAGGTATTTGTGAGCGTCTTCGATCCAGCCTTTGGGGAGGTACCGTACCATCAACAAGGCTTGCTTCATAAAAAATGCATGTCTTGAATCTTCCTGCTCTAAGTCGAAAAGTTGTCACCGAGGTGATTGCTATGGAAATTTCCCTTTTAACTCACCTTGAACTTCCATTACACCAGGATCTGGAGAAAGACTCGGTTCGGATTCGTAGATGTGTTGTTGCCTGGTGAATGTGTAATGATATCTAGAAAATTTTAAACAATGACTGGCGATATGAGCGTATCCCGCAAGTGTTCGACGTCAGCTCTCCTCCTTACTACTGACCTAACACATTATCAATAGCCTCATGAAGAAAGTCAAGGTCCCCAATGTAAAAGAATATCAAAAGAAACCTACACAACTCATCATGAGTGACATAATCATAGGTGGATTTTACTAAAATTTTCCTGATGGAAAACCCGATACAACATTTTCTTTGGGAATGTCTGATGTCACAAACACTACATTTGCCATGAGATGATACTCTGTTATTTATGGCCTGGGCCGATGTTGTTACCTACAATAATTGACGTATCATCACCAGGACGAAGTACTACCTACTATTAAGACAGTGCTACCTACCTAGGTAGGGTAGGATAGGTAAGGTAAGGTATTCATTTGCAAGACTGTAACCATACCATACCTAAGTACCTAAGGTAGTACCTTATCATCCTGATACAAACTATTACGGAGTACCTTACGCTGTTGTTACCTACCTGTAGTAGGGCCCGTCCCTTTGATAGGCATTCAATTATCTTTAGCTTCAACGCCTTCAGTCAATGCTAGGGAGCTTTTGATGCTTTCTCTATTACACATATGGCGACCAATGAGTCGTGGGTTCCCTATCAATTCACCACTAGGAACGGCTTCTCAAGGTCTGCTGAACCAGCTTCCTCGATTCTAGCAGCTCAACTTGCGCCGCACCTGGTGTCTCAAGGAAATAGTGCCCATGGTTACTTGACCAGGGAAACCTTCTCACAACTGCGTCAAGAGCTGGTTGAGGGAAAATGTAGCCAACTGCGTCTAGATGACAGCATCGCAGATGCTAGCAAACTGATTTGCATTGTCATTCAAGCAGGCATCGAGCCTTGTGTCAAGGGCGACAGGTCCCGCCAGGGAGATTTTGAAGGCCAGATACTAGACTGCCTCGATATCATTCAAACAATTCTTGAGAAATTACCGCAAGTTTTGGGTGAAATATGTGACCCAACCATTCTGGGAGAGAATGCGAGCGTGCCCTTGTATGCCTGGCTAACATTACGATTGCTAAACTTGCTCAGTTGGGAGGTGAATAACATAGGAAAGAGAATAGCCTGCATATTCTCCAGCATCACCCGTCCTCATTATAAGCATATAACCTTATTGCCCTCCTGCTCTTCCGCTTTAGCACTCCTTCGAGCGTGCACAAATGGTTTGTTGACTGTTTAGACGTGAGTATGATTTTTTGGCTGACTGTGTCCTAGAGATTCTCCTTTCTCTCGAGAGCCATCGTTATTTATCGAAGCAGCACATGTCTGAGGTTAGATTATCGATACCGGCAGTGAAGAGTGCAATCTTTGCGACCCTGAATAATCTCAATCTTCCTCGCGCCCTTTTGAGCAAGAAGATTGCACTCGGAACGTTACCCCAAACGCTTACCCTTGCTCTTCGATTACTGGACTCCTTTGTTCCAAAAAGAGCAATTCATCGTCACATGAGCATCAAGGATCCTACCCTTCACCAAGACCTGGCTTGGATCATGAATGGATTTGAACGTATATGGAAAATTACCCATAGTTGGGTGCGCGTCTCGATAGATGATATTGAGATCAAGTCACGCATTTGTACGGAATTTACGTCCAGTCTACATATCTTTCACACGCTTGAACTTGATATTTCCAGTCTCTTATCGACACAATCGGGACTGGCACGCCCCTGGGTTCAGATCTGTAGCGAGTTAGTCGCATTGAGCCAACTGATTCAGATGCCTCATCTTCAGATGGAACTGGGCCGGCTGCTAAACGGTTTGATCGACACGTCTCAACAGCGTTCAGAAGTAATAACTCAATTGAGAACCGCTCTTTTACCAACAATGATTGAGTTCAAGAGCAAGGGCATCATTCAGTCGTTTGAGTCCGGTTTCCAGGTAGGCAAGCGAAAATATTTCAGCAGATATTTTTTGAAACTTACAGAATTCAAATTTAGGCTGCGTTGCAAAGATTGATAGAGCTCGTATCTGGAGATGAGAGTCGGACTCTCGTCGATTTGCAAGAGTCAAATGGTCAAACGGTTCAACAAGATGAAGTGGTTCAACATGCTTATGACATTCCGCGGCCACAAGAAGGCTCCACCGACCTTGCTACAGCCCGTGAACTTATGGGCGAGACTTTTGAGCTACTGGGCTGCGAGGAATCCGGAAATATTGGATACCTCAATCGTGCTATCTCGTGAGTTAAGCATATCATGGTATATCCTTTGGAATGCTGACCGCAAATGTGCAAGGGAGTCGTTCGTGGACCTCCCCGAAGAAAAGAAATCCGACCTTTTGCATATGCTTGGCAAGATCGCATGTGCAATGGCTGGAAGCTTATCAAGCCCAAGTAAGGCTGCTTCGAAAAGCTCACTATCTTGCCGTGTGTGTGAAAGTGAGAAAAGAGCGCATGGCTCTGAGCCTGCCTCGAAGTGCCATGACGTTCATGAGCTATGTGGGATCTTCACCTTCGTTCTACCCAGACTCACACGCGCTTCCAGTCTTCGAATAACAACAATGAACGCCTTGCGAAGGCTATTGATCCACGCTCCTCCCGAGTCTTCTTACCTGCAGTTGAAATCCTCTGTTTTCGGCGACTTGTGTTTACACTCGCTTCGAAGTTCGATTAGAGAACTAAGGATAGTCACTGGGTATGCCCATCATCTTGCATTGGTTTAATCTGTTTATCTATTTTCCTTCATCTCTTTTTACCTTTCCCGGTCCCCTTTCTTTTCTTCTACCATCGTAAACGAGCTGATGGTTTTCAGGCACCTAGTAATCTCTTTTGTTCAAAAGGATATCAACGCTGAAACTCGTCGAAGCAACTTTGTCGTCATACTAGAATGGCTGCGGAGCCTCTCTGAGAAGCAAGAACTCCCGTTGCATGAGACTTGCATCTTGACCCTATGTCATATTGCAAAGTATGCCTCTAACATCGAGTAAGTATTGTTTCTGGAGGCTGATCTGGTCCACACAGGGTTTCCGACGATGAGGAGATGAATATCATTCTCCTTCGTCTACTGGAGTACTTGGGCCATCCAAATCCATTTATTTGCGCAGTAGCGTACACTGAGGTGTGTAGTCATTGTATTTGGTGATGCTCTCTCCTTTTACCTTCCGAAAATTGACTGGCGGCCGCATGCTTGTTTTAATGGCAATTTGCTAAAATTCTTTCTAGCTTTCTAAACTCGCTCAGCATCTCTCTGTTACTCCTGCTGGTTTGTTCCGGCCTTTCTGGAGAACATTATCGATAACGGTGGTGAAAAATTTCCAGTCCCGTCCTCACATGGCCGAGCAACTCTGTGATCTACTGGGGATGAATGTAGATGATCTTTTAAGATTAACTGAAGTTCACATCCTGCCGTATCTTGTTCTCACTCGAAAACGAGAACTCGTTACGAGGGTTGGTGCAGCATACAAGGATGTCAAAACGCCTTTCGACATTTGCTCCGAGAAGAACAACCTTGCAGCGATTCTTGCCTTTTTGATGAGTCAACCATGGTCGGACCCGGAAGGTATGATAATGTCTGTTCTCTCTGATATTGACTCCGCCTTTGGAGGACGGACTTTGGCGGAGCTGGTTAGAACAGAGCCGATCTTGATTGCTTGTGATCTTTTAAAAGGCCTTGGTGATTCAGGAAGTGAGAAAGGCGCACGGGCATGTGATAACCAGTTCCTTTTACATTGAGCTTTGTGCTAATCTAATAAACATAGTTTCATCGAGCTCTTCACCTGTTGGCAGCCTTAGTTCCCCGCAAATCTACTGCCACATCGAAGAAGGCCAATTTGCTATGCCATTTCATCGAGGAGCATGTTCTGGGTATAATCACGCAGTTCGCGCATGCAATCAACGACTTTCAAATAAGACAGCCTCTAATTGAAAAGAGGCGAAATATTCTAGCCATTGGTGAAATGATCAAGGTTGCTCATGGCCATATCAGCAGCGCATTACCGCAGGTGAGTAGCTGTAACCTTCCGTCAGTTTCAAGTCAGTAATTTGATCTAACAAATGCAGATATGCGCGTGCCTGCGTTCCGCACTTGGTATCGAAGAGCTCTGTGATCATGCCTTTTCAGCCTGGAGTGTGTTGGTCAGCTCTCTGCACGAAGAAGAGGTCGAGCCACTCATCGATCAAACATTGTCAATTGTGATCAGATACTGGAGCGTTTTCAACGATCAGAGCAGGAAAACCGCCCACGAATTGGTTGGGTATATTCTCAAAAGCCACAGCGAACTTGTGCACGGCAATTTCAGCACCATCCCCTCATTGGCTTCAATTCCTGCACTCTCTGCACTTGAAAACGAGATCAGTAAGGTGAAAGGGAAGATGGATGTTCGAAGTCAACTTTCAGCTTTTGGACGTCGCTGCCAAAGTGAGAATGCCGCTGTGGTTGAACAGGCTTTGAGAGAGCTTTTGCCTTGTCTTTCAAGGCATGAAGAATTCTTGCATGAGTCCGTGCTCAGTGAGCAGCCTGACCCAGTTGTTGCACAGTTAACACGATCCTTGCTGGATTGCTGTGTCAAATTCAATGCAGGTTGCGACAGCATAACACTCCTTTCTGCTCAATGCCTGGGCCTTGTAGGCTGTCTGGATCCAAATCGAGTTGATCCGGTCAAAGATAAAAAGGATATTCTCGTGTTATCAAACTTCGACAGAATGGAAGAGACCTTTGATTTCGTACTTTTTTTCCTTCAACATGTGCTGGTTCAAGCCTTCCTGTCAGCCTCCAATACGAGGGCCCAAGGTTTCCTTGCCTACGCTATGCAGAACCTGCTCAGACTCTGCAACCTCGATTCGGCCGTCACCCAGCGCTCCCGAGACATTCAAGCAGACGAAAAGTACCGTCGTTGGTCAGAATTACCTGAGACTGTGCGCAATACTTTGACGCCCTTTCTCACGTCTAAGTATACTGTCACCGTTGGTGCCATAAGATCGAATTGCAAGTTCCCGATATTTTCAACAGAGCTGACACATGGCGACTGGTTGCGAATATTTGTGCAGGATCTGCTGCAAAGAGGAAGCGGTGACAACGCGCAGCTTATTTTTAGTGTTTGCAGTCGTATTGTAAAGGGTCAAGACATTTCAATCGCCAGCTTTCTTCTACCATTCGCCGTACTGAACCGCATAGTTGGTGGAACCCAGGAAGAGAGGCTGGACTTGCAGGATGAGCTCACAACCATACTCTCCCATCAACTTCCTGAAGCAAGCAATCGGGTTCATGAAGCCATCATACTATGCAGTCAGGTGAGCGTTCCCTCTCCCCATATGTATCCATAAGGTTTGCACATGCTTGGAGTCCCCATTTCTGACGATAGGGCAGAGCGTCTTTGAAATCTTGGACTATCTTTCAAGGTGGCTGCAGGGGAAAAAAAAGCTCCTCAACAGCCTCAAGAATCATGCATCCCATACCGGCCGTTCTCACAAAGATTCTCATGGAGATTCATTATCCGAAACATATTCATCTCAGGTCAAAGCTGTGGAAACCTTCTTGACCTCGATACCTCCAGAAGTGATATCCAAAAGAGCGGTCGAATGCAAATCATTTTCCAGGGCCTTATTCCATTGGGAACAATATATCCGCCGGTTCAAAAATCAATCCGACAAAAACGAGCACACAAGCGCTGAGCTTCTCTACCAACATCTTCAGGTTATTTACAGTCAAATCGATGAGCCCGATGGTATTGAGGGCATTTCAACTCATTTGCACATGCTGAAAATTGACCAACAGGTCCTCGAACACCGCAAAGCAGGCAGATGGGTTACTGCGCAAAGTTGGTACGAACTGCAAGTCGAAAAAGAACCTGACAACGTTGATGCACAGTGGAATCTTCTTACGTGTCTCCGAGAGTCAGGGCAACAAGGTAATCTCCCAACAAAGGGCTGCCATCAAATTAAATCGATGACTAATCTGGTCCAGATGCCATTATTGCTAGATTTGACACGCTCGACTCAGCAGGCTCAACCTCCAGATTTCTTCCCTTCGCGGTGGAAGCGTCCTGGATCACAGGAAATTGGGATAAGTTACGCAGTTACCTCCAAATGCGCTCACCGGAAATTACTGGGGACTTCAATATCGGGGTCGGATCGGCTCTTTGTGCTCTTCGACTTGGGAACAAGGCTGAATTCCGTAACATCATTCGTGATCTGCGGCTCAGTGTCGCAAAATCGCTGACTGTGAACTCTGTCACTTCCCTACAATCTTGCCATGACAGCATCCTCAAAATGCACGCCTTGACTGAAATGGAACTTATTTCCGAGTGCGCCGGCAGCGAAAACCGCTCACTCGCTTGTATACACGATGTACTGAATCGGCGGCTTGAAGTCCTTGGGGGATACATAGCTGACAAGCAGTACCTGCTTGGCTTGAGAAGGGCCACAATGGAATTGACGTGGGGTTCATTTCTGCCATAAAATGTTCATCTGAAGGGATGCTGACATGAATCTCATAGGCATGGATTCATGGAATCTGATATCGCTGCTTCTTGGCTTACTAGTGCACGTCTCTCGCGAAAGGGCAATTACACCAATCAGGCCTATCACTCAATGCTTCGTGCAGCTCGCTTGAAAGATAGGTCAGCTACTATTGAACACGCCCGTCTACTTTGGAAAGATGGCCATCATCGAAAGGCCATACAAACGTTAGAAGGTGCAATAGCTGCAAATGAATTTGCCTCAGACACGTCCTCATCCGGTGGATCGAAAAGCGAAAAGCAACAGAACTTGCTTGCTGCTAGGGTACGTATTATTCCTCATCTCATGTGAAATGGCGTAGAGCAACTAATATGCACAGGCCCATCTGTTACTAGCTAAATGGACGGACCGAGCGGGACAGACCCAATCCGACGTTATAGTGCAGAGGTACCGAGAAGCGATCAAACTTCACTCAAGGTATGAGACCGCAACGTATCCAGGATTATCACACATACTGACAGGGCAGCAGGTGGGAAAAAGCGCACTACTACCTGGGCAAACATTACAACAAGATCTTGGAGTCTGAGAAGGCCAAGCCCTTAGGAAAGGAGGCTCAGATATAGTGAGTGCATTTTCCCTAGTCTCCAACACTAAGACTAAAGAATATTTCTAGCTTAAGTGGCGAAGCCTCGAAACTCGTAATTGATAACTATCTTCGTTCCTTAGCGCACGGGAACAAATACGTATTTCAGTCACTTCCCAGAATTTTGACCCTTTGGCTAGAGCATGCTGCTACGGTTGATCAACCTTTCGATCCGAAAAGGGGTGATAATGAGTATTTGATCTCTCTTACGCTTCACCAGTCGAAAAGACGCTGAACAACTTAATAGGGAGTTCCAGACGCACACATTGAATCAACGGAAAAAAACTCTTGATGAAATGCACTCACAGCTAAAGAAATATCTGAACCGAATGCCCGCGGCGCTGGTCAGTCATTTTTCCGCTCCCGGCTTCTGTTGAGAGACTTGCTTACAATAGCAGCTGTTCACGATTCTTCCTCAAGTGGTTGCTCGGATCTGCCATCCCCATGCTACGGTTTACGAGCTCCTAACCAGGATTGTAGCGAAAGTAGTCAATGCTTTTCCACAGCAAGGGCTATGGACAGTCCTTGCGGTTGTCAAGTCATCCTCCAAGGATCGGGCTTCCAGAGGCATCAATTGTCTTCATAAAATCACTGTAAGTGTGCGAAATCGCTGGGCTGAGATCACATATTAAATGATTTCAAAGGAGGCAAACAAAAAGTCCAAAACTGAATTACCTTTGGACATGCGGGGGATGATCAATCAAGGACAGAAGTTCTCGGAGGAGATGCTCAAGCTATGTACGGCACGAATTGAGGAGAAGGCGCCAAGGATTCATCTCGCCCGGCATCTTGGGTTTAGCCATAAAGTTACCCCTTGTCGGCTTGTCGTTCCATTCCAGGCGATGTTGACTCCAAGTCTTCCGGCCAGCCATGAGAACGAATATTTGAAGGGATTTAGGGCCTTCCCCAGAGACCCTACGACCATTGATGGTACGCCTCAGATTTACTTGAGAGAATTGTCTGGTATAACTAACCCTTCATAGCCGTGCTCGACGATGCACAAGTCTTGAACTCACTGCAGAAGCCCCGGAAAATCAGCATTCGAGGCTCGGATGGGAAAATATACAACGTCCTCTGTAAACCTAAAGATGATCTCCGCAAGGACCAGCGCCTGATGGAATTCAATAACACGATTAACCGCTTTTTAAAGAGGGATGTGGAGTCCAGCAAACGGCGCATGTGTGAGTGCCCTTTCTAATGCTTATTTTCTAATGCTAAGGGGTTGTAGATATCAAGACTTACGCCGTTACCCCCCTGAATGAGGAATGTGGTCTAATCGAGTGGGTTGACAATCTGAGAACATTGAGAGAGATCATTATCAAACTCCTCAAGGAGAGAGGTATCATGCCGAACGTACGGGACAGTCCAACTAGCCAATCGTCATTTAATCTTAAACTAACGCAACAACAGTATAACGAAATCCGACACTATCTTAACGAAGCATGCTCAGAGGCCTCAAAACTTCCCTTGTTCACAACAAAAGTGCTGATGAAGTGAGTATTCCCAATAATTTACACCCTTGATATCGACGCTCATTTCTCGCAGATTCCCTCCAGTTTTGCACGAGTGGTTTGTAGAAATGTTCCCAGAGACCGGGGCATGGTTCGCAGCACGGCTCCGTTACACCAGGTCCTGTGCAGTTATGTCAATGGTCGGATACGTCCTGGGGTATGCTGACCTCAATTGCAGTCTCCGTATCTAGAGTTATACTGACATCAGAGTCGCGCAGATTGGGAGACCGGCATGGCGAGAATATCCTATTTGAGGAAGGCACAGGCGGCGTTATACATGTTGATTTCAATTGCCTTTTTGATAAGGTAAGGTACCTCTTCATGTTGTCCAGACACCCAAGGCTGATTTGAACAGGGCTTAACATTCGACAAACCCGAATTGGTCCCATTCCGTCTCACCCAAAACATGATCGATGCTTTTGGGGCCTATGGGTATAATGGTTCGTTTCCTGATTCTATCAAGGATGAAGCGTTCGCTCAACTCTTATTCACAGGACCGTTCAGAAGGACATGTGAAATTAGCCTTCGCCTTCTGCGACAGAACGAGGATGCACTTATGACCGTGCTCGAGACTTTCTTACACGATCCAACTACAGATTTCATCGGAAGAAAGGTAAGTAGCTCGCCTACAATTATTTTCTTATACTGACGTGTCTCAAGCGTCGCACCCATGCAAGTGTTCCAGAGACCCCCGCTGGGGTGCTCGAGAACGTTCGCAATAAACTTCGAGGTCTTTTGCCTGGAGAGTCAGTTCCCCTATCAGTGGATGGCCATGTTGATGAACTTATTACACAAGCAACGGACAAGAGAAACCTAGCGGCTATGTATATCGGCTGGTGTGCGTTTTTTTGAACGAGAACTGATCCGCACCTCGACGTTGAATTGAGACTAGCGCAGCTGTTCGTGAGGGCAACTTCTTGCTTGATTGTAAGCTCGGTCAATTTGAATTATGCATTCATGTTAACAAAGCATTTCGCATTCTATGCACTATAATAAATCAAGCCTTTTCCTGAAGACTATCGTTATTACGCCTTATAAAGCACGCGGAATGACCATGACCATGCATGTACACTTCATGAGAGAAATCGAGGTATAGTACACATGATTTGTTTGTCCAGATTATTTCCTCGAGGCGTCCAAGCGATGGCCTCGGCTCCGGCTCCGGCTTCTATCTTCGTCGCTATGACTGCTGTAGCCATAACTGCTATAACTTGGACTGCGGCGTTTACGATGCCTAGGGCTGTCCACGCGGGTGTGCGCTTTCCTCCTTGGTGGGGACCTAGACCGCGAATCTGAGAAAGACGACAATGAGCGACGTCGTGACCTAGAGCGCGACAAAGAGCGCGGTCGATAGAGATCATGTCGCTCCATGGGCCGCGAGCGGCCATGTTTCCTGGGGGGCGTAGTCCTAGGTACATTTGGAGGAATACGGGAAGACCGGTGATCTAAAGGCTCTCTGTAGTCATACCTGCGGCGGCCAGAGCCATCCCGGCCATTCTGTGCTGGTGGCGGTGACCGTGAAAAGGCTCTCCTAGGCAGAACGATGGACACGTTCAGAACGGCGCCGTCTAGTTGGGCCTCGTGCATGTGCGATATCGCTGCTTCTGCATCTGCAGGGTCGTGATAAAGAATATAGGCAGTGCCTCTATTTGTCATGACTGGTGGTGTGAGTTTATACGCGTACATGCCACCAGTCCAGAAAGCAGGGTACTTACAGGCTCTGTTCATGGGAAGTTCAAGACTCTGGATATCACCAAACGAACCAAAAATCTCTCTGAGATGGGATATGGTGACATTCTTAGTCAATTTTTCAACTATAATCTATGACGAGGTTGGCCGTCAGCAAGTCTTGGAAAGAAGGGGGCGGAAGAAGAAGGGAAGACAAGTGGAATAAGTATGATAGAAGGACAGACCTTTGAACTTCTCGGAAGACTACTATTTGGACTCGGTGTGCGGCTGTAGCTCCTGTTTCTGTACCATCGAGAATCACGGCTTGGGCTGCGACTACGGCTTGGGGATGATGTTCGAGAACGCGACGGAGACCGAGACCAGCTTCTAGAACGATGATTGTCGCGACGGTCATTGTCATACTGAGCGGACGGACTCCGCGTGACGGACCTTGAGCCTCCTCGAGGGGACATCGAACGCCGTGATCGTTGTTTGAGTGGTTCGAGATCCGCCTCATGCATTGAGCGATATGGTGATCGGCCTTGAGGTGATCTAGAAGACATGACGTGGAAGAGATACAAAGCACATGGGACAGACGAGTGTGGATCGCGTCAAGATGATGATTAGGAAGTGACACTGGACTTTGGAGACTGAGCTGCGATTGGGAGAGAAAATTGGTGCAATTCCAATGCAAGCAAAACCATACACTTAGTATTGGAATTAATTTGTGTCATGTCGGAAGGGGTTGTTTGGGCGAAGAATGTCAGGTAGACTAAAGCGGGTTGTCCAACTCCCCAGCTTAGCTAGCCATCATAAGCCAGGCCAAATTTACACATCGTAGTCACTTACCTCAATCTTTACATCTTTTAGCTTGATATATCCTTCCTGGATATTCTGTTTAACGCGGCTATCGAATTTTTTTCAAGCATCGCATGTGCACAAGTTGCTCGGTATATCCATCAAGTCTGACCTGCATCATCGAATTTCCCATATTTGTTGATATAGTCATATAATAATAATAGCGTCGACTACAAAACAAGTACAAAGTAGATCATCTCATTCGATTGAAGCCTAAGATTCTGCAGACCTTCCCCATTGCTCATATTCTTTGATGACAGCATGCGTAATTTGTCTCTGCACTTGCCCAAGCGCATACTCAAAATGTTTCAACTTGACTTCCTGTTCTTGGCCAGTCTCCTCTTCTTCATCTAATGCTGCGTCACCTGCAGTTTCGCAAATGCTCACGATTTCCGCCCCTGAATAACCTTCCGTTCTTATGGCTAACTCCTCCAGGTCCACTTCGGGATGGACCACAGACTTGCGAAACCAGATGTTCAGAATCTCTTTTCGCGCCTCAAAATCTGGTGGGCCTATATACAGGATGTTATCCAGGCGACCCGGGCGCATCAGGGCTGGATCAATCACGTCAGGCTTGTTTGTCGCGGCAATGACCAACACATTTTTCAGTTCCTCGATGCCATCCATTTCATTTAGTAGAGTGGTGAGCACATTGACACCTCCATGAGATGAATTTCGCCGTGAAGCGATCGCATCAATTTCATCGAAAAATATGATACTCGGCCTTGCAGATCGTGCCTTTCGAAAAATTTCACGCAAAGCTCGTTCTGACTCGCCGACATACATGCTCAAAATTTCAGCACCCTTGACAGCCAAGAAATTGAGACCTGCTTCTGTAGCAAGTGCTTTCACCGTTAGCGTTTTAGAGCAGCCCGGGGGCCCGTAGAGAAGTATCCCTTTTTTACTGTTCACATTGAGTCTTTTCATCCGCTCAGGAAACTACATGAAAGGTCAGCGAGTCATGAGGGGCGATAACGGGCCGATACTCACTTTCAGAGGTCTTTCTACAGCCTTTTGGAGACGCCTCTTAATATCATGCTGCCCGCCAATATCTGTCCACCTGACTTTTGGTGTTTCTAGGAAGACTTCTCGCATGGCGGTAGGACGAGTTTCCTGCAGAGCTGACATAACATCCGACTCCTCGATATCCAGATCAACGACCATGTTCTTTGCGATATGCCCATCACCTGCGACCGAGTCAGGTGTTGATGTAACGTCGCGAAGCCTAGTCGGGGAACGAGATTGACATAATTGCCTCTGCCGCGCTTTGCGGCATACAAGCTGAAGTAACGCAAACAAATCAGCTCCGACATAGCCGTGCGTTTTCTCTGCAATCATGTCTATAAGCGCCTCGTTCAATTGGTGTAATGGGCTTCCACAAATAGCCCGCAAGATTTCAGCTCGGTCTTGCGCAGTGGGTACCTGCATTTCGATCTCGATTGCTAGACGGTGGGGTGTCCTGAGTGTGTCATCAACGTCGTTGGGATGGCGAGTTGCTGCCACAACCAGCACAAGAGCACTTTTCGCAAGATCTAGACATTCACATAGTACTGATGTTAAAGATTGAGAATCTAGTGATGCTCGTTTAGGAGCAATGAAGTCGAGCTGATCAATTATGATGGCACTTGGCTGGCAGCGTACTGCCTCTTGAAAGACATTGCGAACCTTAGCTTCCGCATCGCCAGCGTTTCGGCCAAACATGGATGAACCGAGACTAAACGTCTTTCGCCAACCTGCTGCTTGTATCCGGTGCAGAAGGGCAGATTTTCCCGTCCCCTTAGGTCCATATAGTATGATACCCCGACTGTGTTCGTAGAAAGATGGCATTCTGAACTGTTGCAAACCCAGGTTGAAATCAGCGAGACTCTCATTGATGCTGTCGATCTGGCGAGACATTCCACCTAAACCGGAAGACTTTACTTGTATTGCCGACGGAGCCTCTTCTGGGGCGTCATCAAATTCATCGCCGATAAATATTTTCGAGCTGTCCGTAAAGCGAAATAGGGTGTTGGCTGAATTTCTAGCCGCCGTCTTTATATCGGACACTTTGAAACTTCTTCGCTGTCCCTTAAGCTCCAGATCGAAAGTCAGACCAACAGCGACAAGTTCGCATCTCGAAAGAGGTAATTCTAAAGCCCACCCCCAGTGGCATTTGTCCGATGACGGAAGGGGGCCGTATCTCGTGAGGCGATCTACATCAGAGCATTCTGTGATATAGACACAATCTATTTCTTCCAATAGATCTTCGGCCCTGTTGATAGATATCTTTTCCCCGACTTTTATTTCATAACAATCTTGAAATGTCCTCGAAGTTTGCACAACGATACTCTGTATATTTTCGGCTGCAGTCCAAGCTACGGCGGTTTTTGGGTGTCCGCCGGGCGCGTTCACACTGCAAATGTCCCCAGCTCGAAGTTTGAGGGCGGCTAGTGACGATGATGAGAGATAGATACGAAATGCATCTTTATGGTCACTCCTTGCTTGTTTAGACAACGGTCGAACAGTAAAGAGACGAGCGTCAGACATTTCAAGTGATAGAAGACTGGGTGGGGTTCACAACAGGTTCAGCCCACTTCAACTTTTGCTGGATTCAATGTCTGTTGACCTGATGGGACCAAGAAGGCAGATCATAAGATTGAACACCTTCTACTTCCTTTCTCTTTTCAGTGTAAGTCCTCTCATGGTCACTGTGCACATAATGAAGGAATAATTGTAAAACATACTATAGTTCTGGGGGGGAAATAAAGAATAGTGATCATTAAAAGCACCTTGAGGAATTAGGTTGGCTGGCTAAAGTCTGCATAATGCAAATCTCTGCCTTCTATTATTTCGTTTATTTTACTATCAAAAACTTTTTATGTTTCTGAAGGGAAAATATCTCTCTAGATTTAGTGATTAGGTAATACACTCATTCAACTTGTAGGGTGGGTCTGCTTAGAAGAGCTAAGAATGACAATTTAGTGTGAACCATTTGATAGGTCACATGACAAATCCACTCTCAAATAGCACTGGTCTCAAGCCCTCCAACTCCAAGACCTTGTTCATTGTAGAACTCTTTCCGCCTCGGTCAGGCCAAGGCGCTATGAGGATGCCCTATGAGTGTGGATTTTGTCTCAAGGCTCTTTCAGCTAAGGAAGCCCGATGTACGGAGATTCTCTTAGTTTATGCTTTAATCTTAGAGATTCAAGTAGTTATTTTCGTATACATACTTACATAAAACAGTGCCACGAAACTGAATTTGGTAACTCTAACGCCAGGAATCAAGGAACAAACAGACCAAAGGATCGCAATACCGCCTAGCATACCTCGGTGGACGACTATGATAAGATTGGCAGATTCCAACCGTAACGATGATCATGGCCGCATGAAGAGTCTCTCTGGGGTGATTTAACAGCTGAAAGTAAGGTAAAAGAAATAAATGCCCCCTGCGTAAAGGTTCACTCGAAGGATGACGCCATATGAAAGGAAGCCCAAATCAAATCGAAGAACGTTAGGAACGAAAGGGCATGCCTAACAACATTTACCGCCAGTACTCCCAGACGTCCCCGATCCCTGATGGTCTATATTGACCCCCTGTGACCCCACTTGTTCAGACTTCGATGTATCCATGCCCTTTTTGATGGCAGAGGCGAGGCTGTAGAATGCTTTCTCAATGTTGATATTGTTCTTGGCGGACACCTCAAGGAATGGGATGCCTAGCTCATCAGCGAGTTGTTTGCCTTGTTCTGTGGAGACGGCTCGCTTTTCCTCCCAGTCACATTTGTTACCAATGAGGATTTTGTGTACGCCTTCGCTTGCATGTTGCTCAACATTTGAGAACCATGTACGTATATCTGAACAAAAGCACAGGAACAGTCAGCGTCAAAGACTCTGTTCGAAAGTGGAAGGAACTTACTTTGAAATGAGCGTTCATCCGTGACATCATATACGAGAAGTATCCCCATTGCGCCTCTGTAGTACGCTGTTGTGATGGTTCGAAATCGCTCCTGACCAGCGGTATCCCATATCTGAAGCTTCACACGTTTGCCGTCCAGTTCAATTGTGCGTATCTTAAAGTCGATTCCAATCGTAGTGATGAATGAGGGGGTGAACGAGTCCTCGCTGAATCGCAAAAGACAGCATGACTTCCCCACGCCCGAGTCCCCGATCAACAACAGCTTGATCTATGACATCCAATGCGATTCTCGGTTATCGAATCATCTGAATAAAGGAGTGACTTAAGCTTACCAGAAAGTCATAATTTCTTGTGCCAGCCATTGTGGTATCGTGGATTGGCTATGAATTCACCTTCAAGAGAGCCGATGTGTGGGTACGGTTTCGATCGATATTACGGGGATGAACCTCCGTAGTCGTCGGTAGGATAACTCCCCTTTCAAGATAATCGTACTTCCCCCGCCCTTCCTTCTTGCTCTTGGTGATTGTCTGCAGAGAGAAGGCAGCCACCAAGCGGTAGCAGGACTGTCGTCGGATTGGCAAACGTTGAGGAAATTAGGAAGATAGATTCCTGTTGTGAAATGTCAAAAATTCCTGCCTGTCACTTGACTGATTCTATCCCGAAACTCTAGGCCCGAAATGATAGATAACCTAAAAAATCCAATGAATTGGGTGAAAGATTGCAGACTAATGTTATGTGGTTGTAGCAGCAAGGCAAGGTATCTGAAGGGTAATCTAGGGGGGTATAACAATTCTGAGAAAGTCGTAATAGTAGTCAAGTACCTAGAAGCTGAATAACTGACCTTGCTGACTACAACCTACATGTACAGATTAGTGCCACATTATCTCTAACGTTTGCTCCACCAGTAGTCTAGGTATCTATTTAGATAACTCATATTATTATTATATCTAATAATAAACAGTTCCTTGCTTACATCCGGGTTCTGGATAACTAGCTAGGGATATGATATATGAAATTCAATCTTAGTTTTAGATTTAGGGGATGTATGATCCTAATACCTAGGCAAATTAGGAAAACCATTGAGGTTATAACTTCCTAGTCCCTATTCACTGATGTGTCATGTGCTTTAATCCTATATTTCCATAATATTCCCTTGCATATTACCATTCTAATTTAATATTTGAAGTTTTATATATAGAAAGATTCTGTGACACTCTCAAGGGTTATATAGATGCAACTTCAAACCATTAACACTAGCATCTAGAGTTATGTATTATACAGTACTAACACTGTACTAAAAGGGCAACCAGTATGCTGATTCTCACTTAATCCATCGAGAATATACCCATCCAATTCTACTTACAACCTGGGTTTGCCTCTGTACTCCAATATGTATATTTAGCAGGTCGCCAATGTCTTCTTGAAACTCGCGGAGATCAGCTCCGGTCAGAACTGTTGCTGCTTTTTGTAGGAGAATCTCTGCACCACAGACCAAAAGACCATGATCCTTATAGGTCAGAACACCGCTATCGGTAGGTGTTGACAGCGTCAACGTACGGTCGACATCCCTAATTCCAAATCAGCCCAGATCGTTGAGTTGGTTTCATTTTGAATACCGCAAAGCATGTCTCAGCTCATGTTTTCGCCTTCCTACTTGCAAGCCCTTACGATTGCCGAAGACGCCAAATGCCCATCTCAGAAACGCGTATGTGACCATGATCCCTGGGGTGAGGCTCACAAAACTTGGAGACGTCAGCACTGCACGGGGTCAGTTCTTGAAAGACAGCTCGTACCCAAAAACAAGCTCCTGGCTTTTCAGCAATGAATCGATTCCACCAATCGCTATTTCAACATCGACCTTCGTTTTCTGAATCTGGATCAGAAGAGCACGTACTAAATCACCACGTACAGTTCCAATGAAGGGCTTCCGCAGATCTTTTTCGTATGCTCGTAGCACTGGGGTCAGATCGCCTTCTCGAATTCTCGCGGTGAGTGCGTCAATCTGCTTCGCAGCAGGGTCTTTTTCAGATTCAGGTCGATCGAGGACAAAATCAAGCACCATCCGCTCTAAGCTGGCCCTATCCGCCTCGAGGCTATTCTTACTCATTAGTGCGATCTCGCTCTTTTCGTCATGTCGAATAGTCCCGACGAGTCTCCGCGTGGGCTCAACAACCCAATTGCCCCAGAATTCACAAGCAGTTGATCCGATGTTGGAAATCCATCCAATGAGCTCATGCTGCCGACTGCTTAACAATCTCAGGAAAGTGCTCGTCGACAGCACCGCCACTGATAGCGGCAGCCAATAACGCACCAAGCACGAGGGTCGTCCATGGTGATTAATTGTCCTCCTTGAATAGGCGCCATAATCTGGCAATAACCCGTCGAGTATTTCGAGAAGCTGCTCGATAACATACTCAGGCGTCTGGTGGAAATTTGCCATCTCAGATTGAGACTGAACAATTTCCTTGTCAACTGCCATAAGAACACCCTCCTCAAGCTCATGTTCTGTGCTTTCATGTGCCACCCTTTGCAAGAGAACCTTCAACATGAGTACACCCCTAAACACAGCATCACGCAAGCGGTCATCCGTGGTGAACTCTGAGTCAATTTCCGTTTTGAGAAGCGAGAATTGCCCCATGAGAAGACCAATGCCGCTGGCATTTCTCATTCGCATTGCTCCCAGAGCTTTGGATTTTTGTCTTATCTCAGACCTGTGAGTAGTAAATGGAGATAACATCCTTGCATGCAGCGAGAGCATCGCGCGTGGGTCGAGGCATTGTCGCACTATGTTGTAAAATCTGGTCCACGAGACAGAGGCGACTGGGTTGACAGCTTTTCGGATGCCGTCCTCTTCTATGTGCAAAAGAGACTGTCTCAGAAAATGCCATAGTCGAATTGGAGACGTCTGTACTGCATATGCCCCGGTATACCAATTTGATCCTGAAACATCAGCCCAGTATAACGCCTCTTCGCCTATACTTTGAGCATGTTCTATAAGAACATTGATGGTTATCCCTAAAACCTGCAAAAATGCCTTTGCGGCCATAATCCACGAAATACCCAGCACATATGCGACAGATTCGTCGGGCAGTTCCTGTTTCTTGAGCAGGGAATGAGGGAACTTGGAGATCAGAGTCTTAACCTGATCAGTTCGTAATAACGGTTGAGAAACAGATTGCACGGAAAGCGACTGAATCAAACTATGCAAAGTAGCTATATCCTTTGAGGTTTCACAGGGGCATTCAGATAGTACATGAATGTCCGCCCTGAGACTATCATTGACTTTCTGTTGCACCCTGTCGAGCTCTGTGCTCAGGTGATGAATGTGACTACTAATTGTGAGTACTTTTTCCAGACTGGTCCCAGCAGAAGCAACAAACCAATTTATGATAATCATAGTGTATCTTGTTGGTGCAAACCAAAGAAGAGCCCTAGGCCTTCAGTGTATGCAGTTAACTCCGTAAGTTATGTAGACTGCAGCCATAATAACAAAGCTTAAAAGATAGGATGGCATGGCGTCATACATACTAAGTAATACTGCGTACATGCCCTATTACTATTATTATTATACGGCAAACAATACAAACATCCAGTAGGCAGTACCTTTTGAGTACTACAGAATGGGCTGCTATACTCCGTATATAGCGCTGGAATCATGTAGATACCTCTGACCAGATGAAGGGAATTCGGTACTGAATACTGAAGGGTGCTCCTATCCATCTTCCTATAGGGGATAAACAAATCGACGACTTAGAATCACACCTACGGATGTGTATTGAAGTCTGTGAAGTAATAATATTGATCTCAATGTTATATGAGTATGTGACATAAAGGTTATTCTACTTTCCAGGTATCAACAAGACTGACTTTCTACTTGCAAGGAGCATAAAAAATTACTTAATATGTATAATAAATCTATATATCTTTCTTGATAATGATGTAAGGCAGAGCTGTACTAAAGTACTTGATAAAATAGAGGTTGTGGTATGGAGTACTTGTTTGTTCGTTCCTGGTTGCAATCCAGGCAGTAACCTAGGGTAATCTTCAACTTTTTCAGTTATGGAGAAATTGGAGAGCTTGGAAAGACATCTCAGGGGTAAGAAGGGCTAGGCACTGCAATAACCTTACGGGTCTAAACAAAAAGAGTTAAGAAAAAGTCTCGCCACCCCGGGAATGGTTGTCCTGCCCGACCGTCCGACACCCTTAGTAACCACTGGTAGTAGTTCTCTCTCCTGAAATACCATCACACACTACAAAAGTAGTTCTACCAGAACAAACTTGAATCTGTTTGCTTCTTTTCTTTATTGATGGAAGAATAGGATTTCAACACCCAGTCATTTCTCATACCACAATAAAGGTGCGATATCAAATACAATGTGAGTTGCTCCTTCCTGTCGCTTGGTTTGACCACTGTTCGAACAGTCCTGACAAGGCACAGGAATTCGACGCTATACTCGACATCTCCTGGGACTTATTGGGAGCAATATGATGTAGTTTCCAGATACAATACACATCTCAATGTCGTGGAGAGACTTTGGTCCGCATGGTATGCCTGGATGCAAAATGATGTTCTTGCAACTGGCATCATGTCGTTTGTGATGCATGAGCTTGTCTATTTCGGCCGTTCTCTTCCCTGGATTTTCATCGACACTTTGGGCTTGTTTAGGAACTACAAAATCCAGAATGTAAGTGGATTGGATCTCAATGCCTGTTGAACAGCCCTAACTGGCTACTCAGAATAAAATTCCTTCACTCAGAGAGCAATGGGATTGCGCCAAGTTTGTCCTTCTAAGCCACTTCACCGTGGAACTTCCGCAGATTTGGTGGGTGTCTCAAATTAACTGGGCTTCGCAATGTGTTTCTAACAGTATGTCTGCAGGCTTTTCCACCCCATGGCTCAATTCTTCGGTTTATCTACGTCGGTTCCTTTCCCCTCTGTTTGGACCATGATGTATCAGATCGCTATTTTCTTTGTCCTTGAGGACACATGGCATTACTTCTCTCATCGTGCCCTCCATTGGGGCCCTTTGTACAAGGCCATCCATAAAATCCACCACCAGTATTCAGCACCCTTCGGTATGGCCGCCGAATATGCGTCGCCTATTGAGGTTATGATTCTTGGGTTTGGGACCGTTGGATGCCCGATTCTTTGGTGTGCATTGACCGGCGACCTGCATATCTTTACGATGTATGTATGGATTGTTCTACGACTCTTCCAGGCCATTGATGCGCACAGCGGCTATGAGTTTCCTTGGAGTCTCCATCATTTCTTGCCCTTCTGGGCTGGAGCTGATCACCATGATCTTCACCATGAGAAATTCGTCGGCAACTATTCGAGTAGCTTCCGGTGGTGGGATTATCTTCTGGATACTGAATACACACCGGAAGCTCTGAAGCGCCGAAGGGAGGGCAGAATTACAAAAAAGGCTCAGTGAACACCACCGTCATTGAATGGTGACAGTCTCTATCTGTTCTGCCTGGGATGCATGCAACAGAATGCTCTATGGTGCTGTATAATAGGGTAATATGAGAGGGAATAATGATTTGACCCTCTTTGAGATGGCATTCTTGTAATGTGATGGCTATGGTTGTATAGGTACATGAACAACTTATTCAACCTAGCAATCATCTCAATTATTTTTTTGGCATTTTGATTTTAATTTAATGGGGGTTTTTCTTTTTTCTTATATATTGTTTTGAACATATATACATGTATGTATATATATATATATTATAGAGATAGATAATAAAATACAGTTTCATGTGGTAATTGCTTGATGAATATGGTACTGCCACTATATGTGCCATGCCTGCATTATCATGTAGGTATATAATACCATTTCTGTTAGGAGCACATCACATGCAGGTTCATCTTGATAGGGTTCTAATATAGACACACCCCTCTACCTTAAGTATGATATCCTAGGCTATACATCATGGTATATCTTGCCTATATAACCTATAAAAGGCCTATAGAAACCTATAAAAGGAGATTATAGATTATTATTATCTTATATATAGATATTTTAATAGTTATATTCTTTATTAACTATAGTAGAACTATAAATAGAAGATAGAATCCTTTACTTCTAATAAGATATATATAAGATAGTCCTTAACCTACCCCATACCCTTATACTATTTAAAGGCTCTATCTTTATTATAATATTTTATCTAGTAGTATATCTAGATTAAGTAAACTTATAATATTTAATTATTAGGATAGTCTAAGATAGCTTTAAATAGCTAATTTAACCTCCCTAAAATAATCTAGATAATTTAGTAATAATTATATTATTATTAAGTATTTATTATCTCTTCTCTAAAGTAATATTATAATAAAAGATTATTATAAAGCTATTCTAAGTCTTCTAAATAATAATAAGATATTATAAAAGCTAAGAAAGATAAATTAAAAGCTAGATTATAAAAGTATTTTAATTAGTTTAAATCTTTATTAATGATTTTATTAAAGATTTTTATTCTTTAAAATTTACTTTTTATTTTTTAATTATTAATATAGCTATATCTAATATTAGATCTATATTTACTAAAATAGAAACTTATTAGGTTTATTAGCCCTAGCTAGCTATTAATAATATTAGCTATAAGACTAAGACTATTTATCTCTAATAATAATTTAATTATATTACTAAAGGGGTAACTAATCTTACTTAGCTATATAATTTAAATATTCTATATAAATAATTAATTAAAGCTTTAAAAATTATATACTATTATTTTGGCTACTTTAATTTAGGAGGTACTATAGAAGCTTTACTAATAATATTAAGTTTTAATTTAAAAGCTTTAGCTACTTTATGTTATAGGCTATAGTAAACTATAGCACCCTTATATATAACCCACAACCACACCTATGGAGGGTTTTGACCTAAAGGTTACATAATCTCCTGTATTTTGCTATCCAGTTGACTAATAAGTATCTATATAACATAATCCACAAGCGAGCGGGCCACCCAAGCGAGCGGGCCACCTCACGCGTTTCAGACGCGGTCACAATACTCAACCAATTCAAACCACCACCATGTCTCCAAAACAACATCAAAAATCAAAAAATTCA